CGTATTTTGAGAATACGTTTTTCAATTAAACGTTTTTCATATAAAACAAACTAGTGGACACTGTCCACCGTGGGCAGGGGAATATATTTAATAATATTGATACATAGACAAAAAATTTAAATTTTTTCTTTTCTTTCATACAATATGTTTTTATCAAACACTTACTTGCTACTGTACTGTACTAGTTTTGATTAGAAATTAAGAGTAAATAAGATTTGTAAATGTAATTTATTGAGTTATGAATAATGATTATGAGAAAATTGAAGGACCAAATCTAAAATAACGACCAATATTTGTACGTAGTAATTTAGTTTTGATATAATGATTATGTGAAATTTGAACTTTGAAGATTTAAGGGACAAAAAATTGAAAAAAAAATGGGGCATTCCGAGAATTGAACTCGGGACCTCTCGCACCCTAAGCGAGAATCATACCACTAGACCAAATGCCCTCCACTTTCTTTAATTTTTAATTCAATCTTTAGCATTTTAACATGCATCTCATTTAACTCTGCATATTTAACAATCTGTGTTGGGCCTCTATTTATTTACATGCATCCCATTGTGAATTTAAGAAGAGAAAGTGTGTATCTAGATGCATTCTTAATTGGGACATTATTTCTAAATTTCATATTTTAATAAAATGAAGGAGTTTTAATAATGAAAAAGAGATGCATGATTATCTTACAATTTCCAGGAAATAGAAGAAAAACTAATAAATATAATAATAATAGTAAACATTTTGCTGCCTCTCTATCTAGATTTACATGGGAAAAATTCTAAACAGAAGAGAACAAACATGTTCAACAAAAGACTTAAACCCCCCAAGAGCTTTTAAAGATGAAACTATAGTTCTTGTTCTTGAATCATTCATCTCCAGACCAAATTAATTAAACCCATTGAAAATTTTTCTTTTTTCCCTTACAAATTCGGCCAATATCGATGAAATAAGCAACTAGACGAGACACAAAAACCACAATACGAGCAGCATCATCATAAAGACGCTGTTTTGAGAAGATAGAGTAACACCGAAATTATTGTCATATCCGCTACCGGACGGCCCAAGGCTGCCCGATAGTGCTCCGCCGGAATTTGTGCCGCCGGTGGAGGTCCCGCCTGTGCTGGTGCCGGAGCTACACAAATTTTGTTCCGCGTTAATATAAAACATCATGCTTATAAGAGAAATCGAAATAATGAAACACCATAAAATATTGGTTAACACTAGGGCAATAGCACACATTTCATCTTAACTAACATATTATCAATAACTTTATCTTACCACAAGAATTATGTTGATAAATATATTTGAAGAAAAAGAAAATGATGAAAAGGTTTTAAAGAAAAGGTTCCATATATATATATAGTTATATACCACAAGACAACATAACAACATCAACATTCACACATCAACATCTTGACAGCTCACACATTTTTATCATATATTGATGTTCTAAAGCTTGACTATGACCAAATATTATTTTATTGTGACCAATTAAAATGGGGAAAAAAATAGATCTACCAATCCCTCTCTATATATTAATTCAAAATGTGTTGCGCCTAGGTGACAGATTCTCACGCTTCGGATGCTGACATGGTGAAAATCTATACTTCGTGATGTTGTTTTTATATTATTTTTGCTCTCGAGTTAGGTTTGGTGTCAGACATAAACAACTTTACACATATATTCATTAACTCAACATCCACGTTGTACATGGGTATTAGTACGAGTAAACTACTTAAAGCAAAGTCTCACAAGGGTAAAGAACTAAGCACCAAAATCAGTCCACCAGATTCAAAAGCCCCAAACAATGACATTTTTTTTTTCCTTTCACAATCAGAAATAAAATATGCTATTGTAAGCTATAAAACAACCATCAAATATATACACCAAACAAATCAAATCAACTATGCTTTCATAAACCAAGAGAATGTGTCTGCAAATACTTATGTTCTTTACTTTTTAGGGTAACTGATTTATTGTTGTGCAAGCAACTCAATATAAGTGTTCTGTGAATAATTCATATTGGTGCTTCATTTTTGTGAAAGACTTGAAAGTTTGTTAAAGGAACTGCCTTTACTAACACACCTAACTCAAACAGTTACCACTAATTATACCAAACATTTGTTCCCTTAAAATGATTCAGCTCACTAGTTAAACCATTAAACATTTGCAATGAACCCATTATTGCTCTTTGAAAGGAAAAAATTTAAGGGCATCAAAACAAACCTTGGGCTAGCTTGGTACACACATCCAGAACCTGTACTTGTAGCTGTAGAAAACATAAAAAAAATGGAAAAAAAAAAGGTATTAGGACCCATATAATTTGATTAAAGAGTTCAAAAAATAAAAAAATAAGAACAAAAGAAAAGCTAAGGAAAAACATACTAGGGGGAGTTGAGGTAACAGTGGCAGTTCCCTGAAAATCACAGCTGCCCTGCACTTGGTTTCTTCTCTGGTAATAACTGTTAACAGCAAAATTACAGTGATCCCTCACAGTGTTAGGGTTAAAGCAAGGCCCATTTTGATGGATGTCTGTACAATCAGCCCCAGCTCCACAGGCATAATCTATGTTCTTCTGAAGCACATCCTGGCTCAAATTTGAGTTACACACACAATAAGTGGCATCTGCAAAAAAAAATTACAAGATTTCTATTTGAAACAGGAGTAAGAAAACATGTAAAGATCACAGTTATTGAGTCTTGGAAGTAAAAAAAGATCACATTTTTAACAAACCCTTTACTCCATTGTTCTCAGAAATTGAAGAAGATTTGTAAAAAATTATGATAATAGATACATCAACAAGGGTAGCAACAATATGAAGAGAAAACAAAAAAAGGGGATAAACAAGTGAAAAAAAAAAAAATGAGACTTGGAGTAAAAAAATCACTCTTTAACAAACCCTCTACTCCATTGTCCTCAAAAGTTAAGAAATTTTGGGGGAAAAAAGAAAAGATAATAGACACCATTGAAATGAGTAACATGAACAAGATGAAAACAAAGTGAGTAGCTAAAAGACCTGAATGGCCAGACATGGCTAGGAGAAGCACAAGCACTAAGCTCACAAGTAAAGCAGCCATTTTTCAATTCAAGATCCTCAACCACAAAACCCTCTCTTCACCTTTTTCTATTCAAGTTGGTGAGTAGAGAGAGAATAGAGAATGGAGGTTTCTAGACAGAGATGACAAGTTGGGTTGAGAAATGAGAGGTGCAAGTGACTAGTATGTACTGTGCTTTTTACTTAAATATAATAAATAATGAATGTGTGTGTATTTGGGGCAGCATTATTTTATATATCATGTTTGTTTATTGGACTGATTAATTTTATTTGGGAATAGCAAGAAACCAGCGTTTGAGAAGCTCAAAGCTTTTTCTTTCTTTTTTCCTGTCCTGTAAATCACTGACTGTTGTACAATGTGCATGTATTGTCCTTGGGGCCTTCCTCAACGGTCATAAACTGTTGTGTGTGATCACAATTCACAACTTAACCCAACTTTGGTTAGTCCTATCATTGTTCCCTTTCCATTTTTTTTCAACCTAACAAAAAATAGAGTCATTTAATTTTAATCATTGGAAAATTTCGAAAATTGAGCTCGAGCCGACGGTCGGCCATCGACCGTCCGGACGTCCCGCTCTGTTTCTCGCACCAGCCTCGTCAATTGCAATGGAGAGGGCTCTCGTCCTTCATGGATGGTCCTCGTCCTTTCGGCACCATCTTTAGAGCCAGGGTCTTCGGTTTTCATGTGTCGTGGTGGACGTGGTCGGGGCGCGGTTCAGTGGGCAGGGCGGGTGATGAAGAATACATATGTTTAAAATTATTATTATTATTATTATTATTATTATTATTATTATTATTATTATTATTATTATTAGTTGCTTGGATATTAAGTTAGGGTTGAGTTTGAAGCCTTTATTTAAAGGGCTCTTCTGTTTTGGTGATGGGGAGTTGAATTTTGAGAATGAAAAATTGATCGTGTTCTTTCGGGAGAGTATCCCAAGTTCGAGAGAGTATCTCGTATTGTATCTTTTCTCTTTCGTTCATGGTTTCGCTACATCAGTTGGTATCCAGAGACCGGGTACGTTCCACGATGCCGCCAATGAGAGGAAACAACAACGATCCTACCATCTACGACCGATTGCAACGGATGGATGATC